TGCACCGGTGTGGTTACTTGTAGTGATCCATGAACAGTGATGCTCAGGTTCCTTTGGACATTAGTACTAACCAATCTCTCGCCATTTAAGAAATATGTTATCTTTCCGCTTTGCTTCTACCAATATGGATAACTTCACACTTATTAATGTTTTATTCTATCACTACTTTTGCATTCACTTAGCCTGTCCAAGTCCCTTGAAGCCTCCTAACAGTCTCCTCACAACCCCTATTCTCACCCAGTTTTGTCTCATCTGCAAATTTGGAAATATTACATTTGGTCCCCACATCCAAATCATTAGATACATTATGCCTAGGCGCTGATCCATGCTGTACCCCAGGAGTAATAGAAATCATTGAACTTGTAAATACCATATATGTCAGCGTATAAGTCAATCTTTAAAACCCTGAAAATCTCTCCAAAACTGGGATTGATTTATAACCCAAGCATGTAAACTGTTGTGTGTGGTCACCATTTTGAAATACCATTGACATTTAACATGAATTGAGAACATGGCTTATAACTTCAAAATATGCATCTTCGGCTCATTCATGTTGAGTGTTGCCCACAGAGATTGAATAGCTATCAAAAATGTTTGATCTTTTTGGCATATTTTGCATTTGGTTAGTGTTCTCAGCATGTGAATGGCTTTTCCTTTCGTGCATCTTCAAAACACAGCCTGTATTACCTGGTTGATTGCTTGTACCCTATTATAAGATACCAGAAAGTAAAACATGCATATGTAGAATGAAAAATTGAGACTGACTGTTAATGTGAATATAGCATATTGAGGAGGAAATTCAAGTACTGAATTGGGGGAGGCGATGGCCTAGTGGTATTATCGCTGGACTGTTAATCCAGAGACCCAGATAATGTTCTGGGGACTCAGGTTCAAATCTCACCAAGGCAGATGGTGGAGTTTGAATTCAATAAAAAAAAATCTGCAATTAAAAATCTAATGATGACCATGAATCCATTGCTGATTGTTGGAAAAACCCATCTGGTTCACTAATGTCCTTTAGGGAAGGAAATTGCCATCTTTACCTGGTCTGGCCTACATGTGACTCCAGAACCCATAGCAATGTGGTTGACTCTTAACTGCCCTCTGGGCAATCAGGGATGGGGAATAAATGCTGCCTGGTCAGCGATGCCCTCATCCCGTGAATGAGTAAAGAGTAAAGAGAATCTTTGCAAAAACATGATTTTTGAGCTGAGAAAAATGGGTTCAACTTGTATGTTGTGATTTATTATATAGAAGATATAATGTTCCTGTGATTATTTATTCTGATATCTTCAAGCTTAACAGAAGGTTTTTAGAAGTCCATGATATTTCATCTTCATATGTGCACATCCAGATATTTGTTTTGCTAGCAACTACAAACTTCCTGATGTGTTATTTGAGAATATATTGAGGCTGTTTGCTCGACTTAATCATGTCACAGTTGTCAGATGCTTGGTGATCACAATGACTTGGTGCTGCCTTTAAAATTAATGTTAGGAAAGATGAAATTCACACTACTACAGATATCACAGTCTTTGTGGATAGCTTTATCCAAGGTCAGCGCTAAATATGTTGCTTCAGTGCTGAGTGCAGAAGAGCTGGAAATTACAATGTAGTGCTGAAAACTAGTTTATATTGCCAGTTTTGCAACATATTGGAAAATTGGTGAAGTTTAACCTGGTTTCTTTATTGAAGTACTAGATTACAATTTTAATAATGGTAAAAATCTGTGTATGAGCTATAGGAGAGGCTAGAAAAACTAGGGTTGTTTTCTCTGGAACGGCATATGCTGAGGGGAAATTTGATAGAACATAGAACATAGAACATTACAGCGCAGTACAGGCCCTTCAGCCCTCGATGTTGCACCGACCTGTGAAACCAATCTGAAGCCCATCTAACCTACACTATTCCATTATCATCCATATGTTTGTCCATGACCATTTAAATGCCCTTAAAGTGGGCGAGTCTACTACTGTTGCAGGCAGGGCATTCCACGCCCTTACTACTCTCTGAGTAAAGAACATAACTCTGACTTCTGTCCTATATCTATCACCCCTCAATTTAAAGCTATGTTCCCTCGTGCTAGCCATCACCATCCGAGGAAAAAGGCTCTCACTCTCCACCCTATCTAATCCTCTGATCATCTTTTATGTCTCTATTAAGTCACCTCTTAACCTTCTTCTCTCTAACGAAAACAGCCTCAAGTCCCTCAGCCTTTCCTCATAAGACCTTCCCTCCATACCAGGCAACATCCTGGTAAATCTCCTCTGCAACCTTTCCAATGCTTCCACATCCTTCCTATAATGCGGTGACCAGAACTGTACGCAATACTCCAAGTGCGGCCACACCAGAGTTTTGTACAGCTGCAATATGACCTCATGGCTCCGAAACTCAATCCCTCTACCAATAAAACCTAACACACCGTACACCTTCTTAACAACCCTATCAACCTGGGTGGCAACTTTCAGTGATCTATGCACATGGACACCGAGATCTCTCTGCTCATCCACACTACCAAGAATCTTACCATTAGCCCAATACTCTGCATTCCTGTTACTCCTTCCAAAGTGAATCACCTCACACTTTTCCGCATTAAACTCCACTTGCCACCTCTCAGCCCAGCTCTGCAGCTTATCTATGGCCCTCTGTAACCTGCAACATCCTTCTGCACTATCCACAACTCCACCGACTTTGGTGTCATCCGCAAATTTACTAACCCATCCTTCTACACCCTCATCCAGGTCATTTATAAAAATAACAAACAGCAGTGGCCCCAAAACAGATCCTTGCAGTAGACCACTAGTAACTGAACTCCAGGATGAACATTTCCCATCAACCACCACCCTCTGTCTTCTTACAGCTAGCCAATTTCTGATCCAAACCGCTAAATCACCCTCAATCCCATGCCTCCGTATTTTCTGCAATAGCCTACCATGGGGAACCTTATCAAATGCTTTACTGAAATCCATATACACCACATCAACCGCTTTACCCTCATCCACCTGTTTGGTCACCTTCTCAAAGAACTCAATAAGGTTTGTGAGGCACGACCTACCTTCACAAAACCGTGTTGACTATCCCAATCAAATTATTCCTTTCTAAATGATTATAAATCCTATCTCTCATAATGCTTTCCAACACTTTACCCACAACTGAAGTAAGGCTCACTGGTCTATAATTACCAGGGTTGTCTCTACTCCCCTTCTTGAACAAGGGGACAACACTTGCTATCCTCCAGTCTTCTGGCACTATTCCTGTAGACAATGACGACATAAAGGTCAAAGCCAAAGGCTCTGCAATCTCCTCCCTAGCTCCACATTTCAATTGTACCCAGCCCCTGCAGTTTCCTTCTCCATCCTATGCATCCTAAATCTTGCCTAATCGCCTCATAATTGCCTTTCCCCCAGCTATAACTCTTGCCCTGCGGTATATACCTATCCCTTTCCATTGCTAAAGAAACGTAACTGAATTGTGGTCACTATCACCAAAGTGCTCACCTACCTCCCAATCTAACACCTGGCCTGGTTCATTACCCAGTACCAAATCCAATGTGGCCTCGCCTCTTGTTGGCCTATCTACATACTGTGTCAGGAAACCCTCCTGCACACATTGGACAAAAACTGACCCATCTAAAGTACTCGAACTATAGCGTTTCCAGTCAATATTTGGAAAGTTAAAGTCGCCCATAACAACTACCCTGTTACTTTCACTACTATCCAGAATCATCTTTGCAATCCTTTCCTCTACATCTCTGGAACTTTTCGGAGGCCTATAGAAAACTCCCAACAGAGTGACCTCTCCTTTCCTGTTTCTAACCTCAGCCCATACTACCTCAGTAGACGAGTCCTCATCAAACATCCTTTCTGCCACTGTAATACTGTCCTTGACTAACAATGCCACACCTTCCCCTCTTTTACCACCTTTCCTGATCTTACTGAAACATCTAAACCCTGGAACCTGCAACAACCATTCCTGTCCCTGCTCTATCCATGTCTCCGAAATGGCCACAACATCGAAGTCCCAGGTCCCAACCCATGCTGCAAGTTCACCCACCTTATTCCGGATGCTCCTGGCGTTGAAGTAGACACACTTCAAACCACCTTCCTGCCTGCTGGTACACTCCTGCGACCTTGAAACCTTATTCATGACATCGCTATTCTCAACCTCCTGTACACTGGAGCTACAATTCAGGTTCCCATTCCCCCTCCTGAATTAGTTGAAATGTCTAATACTAGGGGGCATGCATTTAAGGTGAGAAGGGCAATGGTTCAAAAGAGACGTAAGGAGGATGTTTTTTAACACAGAGTGGTAGGTATCTGGAATGCGTTGGCAGGGATGGTGGTGGAGGCAGATACGACAGGGCACTTAAAGGGCTTTTAGATAAGCATATGAATATGCAAGGAATAGAGGGATATGGACCATTGACAGGCAGATTAGTTTAATTTGGCGTCATGTTTGGCACAGCATTGTGGGCCGAAGGGCCCATTCCTGTGCTGCACTGTCCTGTGTTCTAATTTTCTTGTATTTCAGTAAAGTAACAGCTAAGCAAAAAAAGTTCATTGAACTCCTAAAAATACACCACGTGTCTTCCTGTACTGTCATCCAGCAAATGTCTCTATCCTCATTTGTTGTATATTTTGGCATAGTATTAAACATGTGAAATAACTGTCTTCCCAATATATTTTAATCTGCAGGTTTCTTGAGTAATTGTGTTTTGATTGGGTTTTACAAGAATCAGCAGCCTGAACAACAAATCATGCAGCTGTCGTTATTTGAACGAACTTGATGGGCAGTTTTGGCCTGTATAACTTGAGGATGAAGAGAAAAACTGCTGCATTGCGCTGCCATTGAGAAATAACAGGGGAAAAAATTTGAAATTCGATACATCAGTTCTGTGATTTTATTCTTTAATCCGGAATGTTTAGAGAGGGATAGACGAAATGCCTGATAAAAGCCACTTCTTTGCTGAATTTGGTTTTCTGTCACTTTTGTTTTTACAGAATCAGTTATACAGAAGATTCTGGGAATAACTAAACATTATACTTTGACTTCATATCTGGACAGGTAGGTACAGTGCAATGTACAAGGATATAGGAAAGAACAATGCAATTATGATTTTAAGAGAAATATGAATTCTTTAGGTGAGGAGGTGGTTCTCACAAAGTGTTTTGAAATAAACAACCTCAAATTTCCAGTAACAGCTGAAGAGCAGTTATTTTGATCTCAACAAGCGACTATTTTATCCATGGCTGATAGGCATGCCCAGTGAGTTTCATGTTGAGTGTTGCCCAACCAAGCTTCATCTTTTATACATATTCTGACTTTAGACATTGGTCAGAATTCTTAGGATGTCAGTAGATTTTCCCTATCTTTATGCAACTACTCCAATATGATGGTGGTTGCTTCCTTACGGATGGTCTGATTTAGGAAATTCGTATAAATTTGAGTGGACCTGAGAGATGTCAGATTAAGTGTTTTGCTAATGGCTCTGGAAGTCACAGATCTTGGCATTCACAACTAAAGCTAAAGGGTTAAAAATCGCCTTCTAGACATACATCAGCATAACTTTTTCATTTCATATTGTCTGTCAGGAATACATAATTTGTATTGGTGTTCACAAAGTAAGTTGTTGAATGTGTTCCAGAAGCTATGACTCATTCAGAATGCAGTCACTGCATTTTAACTTGTTCTACAATATACACCCCTTTCCTTACAAAGCTCTGATAGCAATCTTGGTTGAAGGAACTGACTTTAAGACAGTAATTCTTTCCTTTAAGTTCCTAAAGAGAGTCACTCCTCCTTACCTTTGATTACTCCTTCAGCATTATAGTCATGCATTCATCCTCCTTTCTCCCAAGTCAACCTTACTATATATTTTCAGTTCCACCATCAGTAACTGCTGCTTCACCCAGACCCCTTGCCCTCCTTTTTCTTGGCGTCTTTGTCCTTCTCTTCCCTCTTTACTTTCAAAAGCTTCTTCAAGTGCTTTTACCTCTCCATCCACCTTTTCTCTTTCTCCCTCCTGCTTGTTGAAGCTTGTTGCCTACCTTGCTGTGAAGCTGTTTGATCTTTTTCTGCATGTGAGGAGATGTTCAAAAATTTATATTAGTGTTTTTTTAAATGCTTTATACCTTGCAACTTTATTAATTTTGAAATGTTATTATGTCTTAATTTTGATTATCTTCAATTGTCTCTGACCATAAAGCAGAATGCATTGCCCATCAGAGCAGCTATTTGACTTGCAGGTTTTCCTAAATTGAGTGTCACTGGAGACTTCTTTATGTGGCCCTACGTCAAACATAGTGCACTGATAAATGTTATAAGATTCATTAATATTATTTGGCAATGACAAGCCAATCCTGGTGCTGCTTCTAGCAGCTAAAAGAACATATTCCACAATAACTATCAGATGGTTCTGTATCATCTTGCAAGCAACTCATTGGACACTGCTAGATAGCCATAAATTTGATGTTGCCATAATGAGAGCTATTTCCTGGAGATTATGATTTTTGAAAGCATATTGACTTCAGTTGAATCAAATAAGATGATATGGGACAAGCTACTCATTTTAATGTGTAAGACCTTGATTTTGGTCCATTCATCTTGCGCGCAGTCATGAGAATTCCTGTCTCTGCAAATTCGCTTTCTTAAAATGTCTGAGAAGCATTAGGTTTTCAATTTGTGGTACAGGTTATATTTAAAATCAGGGCTACAACCCTGGATATAGGAAGAAGAGTGCGAGGTGTGGAGGTGACCTACCTGTAAGCCTATCTGGGAACTCCAGTACTGTGCAAAAATTTAAAAAGAAAGAATAAAATATAAAACATCCCATGAGTCTTTACCCTTAACATGCTGTCCCCCCCAACTCACTTCTTGTTCCCCTTTCAAGCCAATCAAATCCACCTCATGTCCTATATGTACTCCCCTTAACACCTGTTATTCCATGCCAATTTATGCATATATACCTCTCTCCTGGCCCTTTATGTTGTTCCCATCCACTACTATTTGCTCTTGCCCTGTGCCATTTCATCCAGTATCCACCATAGGCAGACCTCAGGATCTATGCTGAGATTAAATAATAGAAAATCCCATGTATCTTTTATAGAGGAACATCTCTGCTCAGCTGGAAAGGGTATTGGAGAGACAGGGGGAGGATCCAGTTGTTATGGTCCCTGTCAGGACAAACAACATACACAAGACGAGGAAAGAGGACATGTTTGGGGATTATCAGGAACTAGGAACTAAATTAAAGAACAGGTCTTCAAGGGTTATAATCTCCGGATTACTACCCAAGCCATATGCAAATTGGCATAGGAATGTGAGAATAAAGGAAGTAAACACATGGCTACAGGAGTGGTGTGGCAAAGAGGGGTTCCTTTTCATGGGGCATTGGCATCAGAATTGGGAGAGGAGGGATCTGTTCTGTTGGGATACACCTGAACCGTGCTGGGATGAATGTTCTAGCGAAAAGGGTAAGTAGGATGGTCTACAGAACGTTAAACTAGAAAGTGGGGGTGAAGAGAAGGGTAAAACTCCAAAAAGTATGATGGTCAATGGGAAACAAAATAGCAGGTTAACATCTGGGGGTGGATTCAACCGTATGGAATGTTGTGTTCAGTTCTGGTCACCTCATTATAGGAAGGATGTGGAAGCTTTAGAGAGAGTGCAGAGGAGATTTCCCAGGATGCTGCCTGAACTGGAGGGCAGGTCTTATGAGGAAATGTTGAGGGAGCTAGGGCTTTTCTCATTGGAGCAAAGAAGGATGAGAGGTGACTTGATAGAGGTGTACAAGATGATGACAGGCATAGATAGAGTGGATAGCCAGAGACTTGTTTCCAGGGCGGAAATGACTATTACGAGGGGGCATAATTTTAAGGTGATTGGAGGAAGCTATAAGGGAGCTGTCAGAGGTAAGTTCTTTACACAGAGAATGGTGGGCCTGTGGAATGCGCTGCCGGTAGTGGTAATGGAGTCAGATACTTTAGGGACATCTAAGTGACTCTTGGATAGGCACATGGATGATAGTAAAATGTAGGGTATGCAGAGTAGTTTGATCTTAGAGTGGGATAATAGGTCAGCACAACATCGTGGGCCAAAGGGCCTGTACTGAGTTGTACAGTTCTATGTTTTATGTTCTATGTAAAAGTATGAAAAAAATGAAAAGAAAGGAGAACTTAGGAGAGGTTATTAAAGTCTTCAGAACACAAAATAGGACAGAGTGTTTGTAAAGGATTAGGAATCTAACTTGAAGCACATCGGATAAAGGAATCACAACGTGAAAAGGGACAGTAAAAACGCTGAAGGTGTTTTATCTGAATACACGCAGTATACGAAGTAAGATAAATGAGCTTGTGGCGCAGATTGAAATTGGCAGGTATGATGTGATGGGCGTCACTGAGACGTGGCTGCAGTGGGATCAGGATTCAGAGCTAAATATCCAAGGATATACATCCTATTGAAAAGTCAGGCAGATGGGCAGAGGGGGTGGAGTTGCCTTATTAGTAAGAAATGAAATTAAATCAATAGCAAGAAATGACGTTAGGACAGATGATGTAGAATCTGTATGGGTAGAGTTGAGGAATGGCAAAGGTATAAAAGCCATAAATGGGAGTTATGTACAGACCTCTAAACAGTAGTCAGCATTTGGGGCACAAGATACACCAGGAGATAGAAAAGGCGTGTAAGAAAGGCAAGGTTAGTGATTGTGGGGGATTTCAACATGCAGGTTCACCGGGAGCATCAGGTTGGTAGTGGATTGGAAGAAAAGGAATTTGTGGAATGTCTACAAGATGACTTTTTGGAGCAGCTTGTAGTGGAGCCCACATGGGAACAGGCATTTCTGGATTTAATGATGTACAATGAGGCGGTCTTGATAAGGGAGCTTAACGTGAAGGAACCGTTAGAAGGCAGTGACCATAACATGATAGAAGTTACTCTGTAATGTGAGAAGAAGAAGCTGGAATCAAATGTAATGGTATTACAGTTGAATAAAAGCAACTACAGAGGCATGAGGGAGGGGCTGGCCAGAATTGACTGGGAGAGGAACTTAGCGGGAAAGATAGTGGTTGGAGACAAAAAAAACTGCAGATGCTGGAAATAAGTTAAATGAACTTGTGGTGCAGATTGAAATTGGCAGATATGATGTTGTGGGCATCACAGAGATTGGCTGCAAGGGGATCAGGACTAGGAGCTAAATATCCAAGGATATACATCTTATTGTAAAGACAGGCAGGTGGGCAGAGGGAGTGGGGTTGCCTTATTGGTAAGAATTGAAATTAAATTGATACAAGAAACGACAGTAGGTGTGATGATGTAGAATCTGTGTGGGTAGGATTGAGAAACGGCAAAGGTAAAAAAAACCATAATGGGAGTCATATATAGGCCTCCAATCAGTAGTCAGGATTGGGGCACATTATACACGAGGAGATAGACATGCAAGAAAGGCAAGGTTACAGTGATCATGGGGGATTTCAATATGGAGGTGGACTGGGAACATCAGGTTGGTAGTGGATTGGAAGAAAAGGAATTTGTGGAATGCCTACGAGATGGCTTTTTGGAGCAGCAGCCCTCTAGGGAACAGGCAGTTCTGGATTTAGTGATGTACAATGAGGCAGACTTGATAAGGAAGCTTAAGGTGAAGGATCCCCTAGGAGGCAATGACCATAATATGATGGAATTTACTCTGCCATTGGATAGGGAGAAGCTGGAATCAGATGTAATAGTATTACATTGAATAAAAGCAACTACAGATGCATGAGGGACGGGCTGGCCAGAATTGTCTGGGAAAGGAACCTAGCAGGAAAGACCATGGTTGGAGACACAAAAACTGCAGATGCTGGAATCCAAGGTAGACAAACAGAAGGCTGAAAGAACAGAGCAAGCCAGGCAGCATCTGGAGGAAAGGAGAAGTCAACGTTTTTGGTATTACCCTTCTTCAGGACTGTGCACAGTTAGGACAGACAGTGGAACAGCAATGGCAGGAGTTTCCGGGAGTAATTTGGGAAACACAGGAAAAGTTCATCCCTAGGAAAAAAGTATACTAAAGGGAAGATGAGGCAATCATG